CAATTATTATACATTATACATATGTATATAGATTATTGCTATTTAGAAATAAGTTCTTAAACTTATTTTTCTTAAACATAGAAGAATAAATAAAGAAGTAAAGTAAACAATTATCTCTTCTAGTTATGACCTCTGTACTTGTTTGCTGCTTGATGTAGGTTGCTAAGCCTTTTAAAATTTCACACTTAGATGATATGAAACGAAATATATTTTTTAGGTTTTATATATACATTTGAATAACTAAAAAATTATAAATTACTACATCAAGAATTCCACAATAATATATCAAGCTTAGTAACTAAGCTGTATTTAAGTCTAAAAAAATATGAAATTTCGAGCAGACTAAAGTCACAACTTACCTCATTGAAATCTTGATTTAAAAGAAAGAAATGACACTAGGTACGTTAGAAAGGCTTAGAAAACCACTAGAGAGACATTCTGTGCTTCCGATTGGTTATTCAGTTCATATATAGAAATAAGTGTATATAAAGGAGCATTTCCAAAAATGGAAGGAGGTGAGTATATTTGATTTATTAAGTAAGCAATATCTTAGCAAATAGAAAAGATAAGACGTTCTTATTTTATATTCTAGCTTGTCAATATCTGTAATTTGATTTTCTAATTCGTATGAAACTACAGACTTAGTATTTTGACTTCACAAACATTTAATTTGAATCATTGCTGCATTCAACATACCACGTGACACACAAAAATCAATGTTTATCTGTGTTTTTTAATATTTACTTTTAAATAAACAAATTGAGTAAAGTATAGGTCTAAAATTTGAATTATAATCTACAGTCTGATACCAAACTTATTGACATAAATTCATGAAATATTAGTTCAATAAAATTTTTAATGCGAGTCAACAAACAAAAATGACATGGCCTTTCACCCGTGACGAAAGGTATTAAATTAATTAAAATTAGTTAAATTTTATTAATTTAAATTTAATTAATTTTTAATTAATTAATTTTTAATTACTACAGCTATTGAAGTAATCAAAATATTGCCACTAAAGTTAATCATTATTATTTCAAATTAATTTAAGTTTGTTCAGGTTAATTTATTAATGTCATGACTCATGAAAATAAATTAATGAAGATTAGTTTTTCTGATTGTTACCATTTTTGATTATTACAACTATCCAAGAAATTGAAATATTACCATTACAGTTTCTCAATATTATTTAATTAATGAATTCAAATTTTTTCAACTTTGGGTCAGCATATTCCGGTGATAAAGAGGGTTGCCTTGTGAAGAGAGAAGACGTCCACATTTTACCGTCATTACGTTCCTTTGTCGTTTTCTTAGTTCAAAGCTACACAACACTATGTCTGCACCTTGTATATTGTGAGGACTCAAACCACTAATTTTAGCATTGTAAGTCTGTAAATTTACTCACCAGAGAACTTGTAGTTGATGAAATAAGAAGATATATTCAATTATCTTTACATTTTAAATTTATTTAATATATGAAATATACAACAATTATCGTGAGAACCGTCTTACCTGTGTGTTTAAGTTACACCCGTGTTCCATGAGTGTTTGAACAACCCTCTCTAATCCCCATGCACATGATAAGTGAAGAGGAGTCTGCCCATCATATGCTTCTTCATCTCCTTTACCATCAGGACTAGGTCTCCTGGCAGTATTCAGGTCACATCCACTAGATATAAAACAAAGGTTTCAAGTGTTTTCTTACATTCTTAAATAACAAATCCATCTGGTTCTAGTATCAATAACTTCTGTATTCCCGAATGTTTTTCTAAAATTTTGCTAGAAAAAAATAACGAACTTTCTGTTAAAAATCCAAGAGACAAGCTATAATGAAAACTGTTAGGTAAAGCATGGGAAACAGCCAGTGAAATTATCAACAGTAATTAATAACAATATCAGCTACAGAAGACAAGGCTGCTTTCTTAATGAACCAAGACTCAGCTTAGTTATGATGTTACATTAATGCAACATCATAATTAATATAACATCATAACTAATGCAACATCATAATTAATGTAACATCATAACTAATGCAACATCATAATTAATGCAACATCATAATTAATGTAACATCATAACTAATGTAGACAATTTTTAATTCCCTCTCTCTTTTTTTTACAGCAACTAATTTCCTTTAGTTCACACAGTAGAGTAAAAGTTTCTTTGAATTTTTAGTTTAATCCTTTCTTGCTCATCATTATATATATATATTTTTTTTGTGAATAATTTCAACTGACAATTACAAATAAAATTCCCTAAGGGCTCTACAGTAGAAGAAACACAAGTTTCTCATATTTTTCACCTAGAGCATCTAAATATTCAAATAAACAGAAGCTGTTTCTAGTAGCCACCTTCTGATTAAAAAACATGCTACAGACTCGTTGTTTTCATCAAGTGAACGATGTAAAAGTGTTTGGTAACATCCTCCAGGGCCTTCACCCCAACAGTCACAATCGCATCCATGTTTGACCTGTGGTTAAAGAAAAACCTCAATAAAATATATGTGCACATGTTAATACAACTTGTATTACACAAGCTGCGGCACAGTACATAACTACTTACAATATTGACAAGTATCTTTTTTATTCTTAAATGTATTTATAGAGTTCACTAAATTTACTCTCAAATCATCATAATCTTAGGTAATTGTCTTTTATTATATTATTTGTACTGTGTTACATTCAGTCCGTGAAATACCTGTATAAACTAAATAACAATTAAACCTCAAACATACTAATATTAGCCCTTTCATGGTGGAAAGCTACGACAGTCGATGGAAGATTAATTCTTGTTGACAGCAAAAATCAACTTTTCTATGCAGCCATCAAAATTCTTTCCGCCCCTCTACAGTGGAAAGCAACAACCCTTCATGAGCTTGAATCAACCACTAGACACCAGGTGTGCTGACATCTGGGAGCTTGAGCAAGAAACACAAGTATAAATAATCTCTTTGTTCGGACACCAGCCAAGAAGATGACACGGGACACCCATGCACAAATATATTAGCTCATTGTTGTATTTTTCTATGTTTTTACCATAATTTAGGTAATTTATTGATGCCATAACATCAAAACATCCATCTTATACATCATAACACAGCAAAATCTACCGCTAAGTTAGAGTGTTTTCTGATGGAGAAATGGTTAAACCAAATAAAACACGATGCTACTAGAAACCTCTTAACAACAGCAGGATATACTGTAACTCTGTAATTTCTAGGTCAATCAGCAAACACGATGCTACTAGAAACCTCTTAACAACAGCAGGATATACTTGTAACTCTGTAATTTCTAGGCCAATCAGTCAAACTACGATAGCTACTAGAACCTCTTAACAACAGTACAGGTAATATTAACGTTAGTAACT